ATATTATAATATTAAAAAAAGGTTTTTATTAAAAACATAATTATGCTGTAAAAACAATCTAGAAATAGGTAAAAATGTCTTAAATTAAGTGCATTAACCCTTAATTTGAGTAGGTAAATAAGGTAATCTGCCAATGGAATGAGCATTTTTAATCTTAAAATAAGATAATTAGATAATATGCACTTGAAATAAGACAATGCAATTGTGTTTTCTTATTTTAAATGTAAATTGTCTTGTTGCATCGACAAAGTGTCTCACTTTCCTCCTAAATTCAAGAACAAATGCACTTAATTTAAGAAAAATTGACTTATATAGATTTTTTGTATTAACCATACAGGTAAACAGTTTCATGGGGCCCCCAGGAACTTGGGGCCTTGGGCAACTACCTAGTGTTGCCTAATGGTAATCCCCCGACTGATCTGAGCTCCAAGAGGGCATCAGATTTATACTTTTACTCCTCTGATCTGTAGCATATCCATCTCTAAACATTAAGGTTATTCAAGCTTTAACTACAGGTTAATGTCAACATTAAAATGTTCCCTATAAGTGTTAAAGAACCAACCTTCTGCTTGTTTATTTCATGGCTGCATGAACAAAACAGCTTCAAAGATATATAAAACAGACCATCATTTCCTAACATCTTATTAAGGCAATTTATTTGGTCAAAATTGAGTCTGCATGGCAGGTTTTACCATCTGCTGTTAAGCTGATGTGCAATTATTTATATACCCTTCAACATAGTATAAACAATCCATTGCTCATTTACAGTGATGGATTAGTGGCGCATCTTTTCAACCTATTTCGCTTTGATTGAATGCATCCATCAGGCAACAATTCTCCACCTTGACAGGCAAAAACTGTGATCTTTCATGGCGATCAAAAACTCTCAACCGTTACCTCTCTCTGTCCCCATAAATGACCGCTGAAGCGTCTGTAAATCACAGCCCGGCATAATAACTTCCTTCATAGGGACCTCTGGACTTGGCTTTGCTGAAGCATCAACATGCAAACGAGCAGCGGGGCATACTTACAGAGGATAGGTTTATGATTCCCAATATGAACACATGAGATGTAATATTATTAAAAGGTCATATTTTGTGGATACTATCATCCCTGGCTTCAGATTTAACACTGAAGTCACCAAATTAGTTGCAAAGATAAGGGAGGACAACACCAGACAAGAAAACAAGCAATCAAACAGTGTTTCTAAGGAAAGCAGAGAAAACAAAGATGAATACTATAATTACCTCCCAAAGTATGTGTTGCAACCATCCATCACAGCTTATCGCCCGTCTTCTGTAGCTGATGGAGTTTTTGTACAAGTTTCTCTCAATAATAAGGGATTATCACAAACATTTAAGGTGCCCTCGCTTTGTGTAAAAGAAAGCTTGCTAATGTTGTTCCGTTTGATCTATTGTTACGACACCTTGTGCAGAAATATCACAGAAACGTGGGAGTTTTTATATCCAGACAATGACCAAAAACAACTAAATAAAGCAGCATTTTTCTACCCTGTAATAACGGCATCCAGAAACTTAAAGGAGAAAACTTATTTTATGTTAAACGTTAAAGCGGTCTTTTCTTTCATGCTGCAAGATGAAATGATGAAATGCTTTTAACAAGCTGCACTTCAAAGACAAAAGATGCTCAGCTCTGGCATTGTGACACGAACTGGTTTAACTTATCTAATTTAAAGGGGGATTTCAATGAGATTAAACGCTAAATTTGTTGATTTTTCTTTACTGGCATGTTCCTCTTCCTCTACTTTAAAAACATTTTAAAGTGTGTCGCCTTTGGGTTGATCTTAAATATGACATTATTAAAAGAAAACCCTCTAATATAGAAGAATTACAACAATACTGCAAAAATAAAGCTCAGATTACACCTTTTTTTTTATCTAAAACAAGGAAATTTGACAGAAAAAGCTAAAATATGAGAGCTTTAAGGGGGAAAGGCTTTTTATAGTACAGATAAGATGTTAAACTACTATAAGTTAGGTGGAGATTCTCAGTCATTCAGGTCATAGTTATTCCAAAAAGTCAAAGTTAAAGAAACAAACCACTGGATTTTATTTTCTAAGTTTGAAGATATATATATCCGTTTCCAGATGGATTTGCTCCACATATCCATCTGGAAACG